ATAAGAAAAGCAAGTAATGCATATAAATGCAAAAGAAAACCAAACTTTCAGCTAATTTATTTTCATACACAAACTTACAGATATAGAATGACAAGTCCAATCGTGGAAGAGGAATTTTCACTTTTTTCTCCTTCCAGTGAGAATGCTTCTTGTAAGAGGGATCCTATTTCAAGAACAGCTATGCCAGCAAAAAAAAGTATTATTGAAATGCAGATATTTGCAGATTTACACCAGGAGGTCTGTCTTTTAGGTTTCTGGAAAGTCCGTGAAGCTGGCTATTCTGGTTGGCTTTTTGATGACCAAGGACCAAGGAATCTTTAAACATTGAAATACTTTAAATAATTACAACAGACAGTTGATCTATACTACTATAATCTGATGGGGGTAAACAGAAAAAACAGACGCACCCATCACCCCTTGCCAGAATTCCAAAGGTGCCCACCAGCTCAAAAAGGGCTGAGACCCCTGAGTTAATGGATTAATGCTCAGAAAATGAGATGTCCAATGAATTGGTCCATTCATTTATCTAATTTATACCCTACCCCCCAAAATGGGCTCATGGCGGCTTTCAACAAAAATTGGCCAGTTTTACTGAGGACGCTTCGGCTATACAATCTTTGGAAGGCACTTTCTGGACCAGAAATTATTATCAGTGAAACACCATTTGGCATGTGATTGCACCTTTGGAGGCCTCATTTATACTTTTACTAGGAGTAATGCCCGTTGTGGGAAGAAATACAACGAGATCTAGAAGGAAGCTCCAGATGAGTGTCTCTCTCGACTGTGGCTGGTGGGGCGGCAGAGGGAAGCGGAAAATGGAGGGAGGCAAGCCATGTTTCTTTCCTTCTGCTTAGCTTAAGGCAGGGCTGTCTCAAGTCATTTTGCTGCCCCAAGTGGGTAAAATGGGAGGACAGCCTCATGGTAACGGATATGGTTCTCTCCAAGCTCTGACTTATTTTTTGAGGGGGAGGGGGGTGTTATGCAGTGGCAGCTAAGGTAGAAAAATACCTCCTCCAGTGCCATGTTTTCTGGGTTCCAAGGCTCTGGAAATTAGTTCCATAGCTGATTACACAGTTGCCAACTCTGGGTTGAGAAATACCTATAGATTTCACGGGTCGAGCTTGGGGAAGGCAGGATTTTGGGTGGGGAGGGACCTCAGTAGGGTATAATGCCATAGAATCCACTGCCCAAAGCAGCCATTGTCTCCAAGAGAACTGATCTGGGTCATCTGGACATCAGTTTTAATAGCTGAAGTCCTGACTGCTACGTCACATTGGCTGTCATACAGGGGCCATCTCAGCAGGATATAAGGACACAGAGTCCACCATTTTCTCCAGGGGAACTGATCTCTGCCATCTGGAAAGCAGTTGTAATTCTGAGTGATCTTTAGCCCTCACCTGGAGATTTGCAACCATGGTTACCTCAGAACATCAACAGCAAACTGTTTAGAATGTTAGAGGGAAAGGCCAGTGAGGTTGCATATGCAAACGACCTCTGTGATCCGAGGCAAAGGTGATTTAGGCCACATATGCAAATGACTGTGTTCTGACTGGCTGTGGGGGGGAGAGGAACAGCAAACCGTTTATGTTGTGTCCTATAGTTGGCCACTAGGCCATTTGTTTTTGTCTTATGTGTGAAGTACTGAGTAAACGCGTGTTTCTTATGTCATGGTCCGAGTCGTGATTTATAGAACCGTGGCGACGAAGGTGGGATACTGACGAGCGAGCCTAACTCCGGCCAGCATCAAGCCCCGCTAATCCGCTCACCGCCGCCCCAGGAGTCATGGCCACCGCTTCCCGTCCATGAGTGACCCCGAGTCCCCGTCCAGCGCCGCATCGAGCCCCGAGTCCGAGGAGGATGCATCTGCACCCCGCATGCTGCTGAACAGCCACGCACTGCCGCACGTGCCTCCCGATTGCCTCCACTCCCCGCAATGTGCTAGAACGATGGCTGCAGCCCACGGAAGTTTGGACAAGTTCGATATCTCCCGGCCCGAGCTTTGGGATTCATGGACTGACCAGCTGACCTGCTACCTAGCGCTCAATGGCTTAATGGACACAGGCCACTGGAGAGCCCTGCTCATCAGCTCATGCAGAACGGATACCATCCAGCTAGCCAAGAGTCTTTTGGCGCCTAGATCGATCCTGGAATGTGCATTCGAAGAGATCCTGGAGGTCCTCAACAA